TTGAAATTATTTGTTTAAAGTATATTAGAACTATAGTCAGAATTAAAAATAAAATCAGAATTATTTTCGATATACAAAAATTTTTTTTTCGAAAAAAAAATTTAAAACAAAAAATTTTTTTTTCCAAAATCAATTATTTTGTTAAGACAAGCAGAAAGTTCTTTGAATCATTTAAATCGGACGCTTAGTTCTCTCAAAAACTGCCATTTTTTACACATTTAGCTCCGTATCTTCGAAATGGCTGGGCCTGTCTTTGCCAAAAATTAATAAACACTTCTCCCAATCATTAGTAATTAAATGTTTTTTAGATTATTCAAATCGGATGCTCCGTTCTCTCAAAAACTCGATTTCTATTTTCTGAACTCTTTATCTCCGTAACTGCTGGACCTGCCTTTGCCAAAAACTAATCAGCACATCTCCCTATCAATAGGAATCGAATGTTTTTTGAACCATTCAAATCGGTTGATCCGTGCGCCCGAAAACGTGACTGGAAATTTGTAGCCATACATACATACACACACATCAATTTTTTCTGAGGTATGCCAAAATGTTCAGAAACCTTCAAAACGTCGAGAAATGTAAAAATTTTTAATTTCGATTTTTGGTCCATTATAATAACTTATCCCACGGGAAGTTAAAAAAAATTCTTGAAAATTTTGGACTTTTTTATGTTTTGAAATATTTTGGAAACTTTTTTTCGAAGCAATCGCGCAGCGTAGATATGAAATACAGAACACATAAAAGTGTGAACAAAATTTTATAAAATACCTGATAATTCAATGTGAATATGTATAACAATCATTTTGACCCCCAAAATGTCATTTTTTATTGGATCTGCCAGAAACCGATAAACTTGCTTTCCCAAAAACTTAATCAATTCTTCATTTCGTCAATACAAATAAAATGTTTACACCCAGTTTATTTAATTTGGCTTTATAAATATTGCATTATGCTTTAAGTTAAATTGCAAAATCTGTCCGACATGTGTAAATAATCGAGTTAATCAATAAAAATTGAGATTTGGACTTTTTAAAATATAGTGACGATTAAATTTTAAAATTTGGGAATGAGAATTTTTCGTAGACCTATAATATTTTAGGATATTCGTTAAGACCATGAACTCTGTCATCATGAAAATTTCATCAAAGTCGTCAAACAAACTTCAACAATTATATACAAAGAAATAGCCCAGCCGATCTACACCAAAACAAATCAGCGTGAAGACCAACTGATATATTCGATATTCGAACAGTTCTTGTCTTTACAAAATAGCTTTAGAATTTTTGTCGAAAATATAGCCAAGAATTTGTATATCTTTGGGGCGTCCTTTAAACACGTGAGGCTTGCACGATAAAATTGATAAAAAATCACAAATTAGGAGAGTATGATATCACGTGGCGTCAGGGGAGGGGTTTGATATCACGTATATTTATTTTTACCTGAATTCAAATAAAAAATCAAAATCTTTCAATTCAAAATCAATATTCCAATTTTAACATTTTCTCAAGATAATAAAGATACACGTGATGTGACGGTGGGTGGAGGTGGGGTCAATTTCAACTGTTGAAATTCAACATCATAACGTATCACCAAGAACGTAGGAGGGGTGCAAATAGTGGATCCCTTTGTGCCAATTCTGAAAACGGCTTGACCTGTCGTCTCATAAAACCAATCAACGCAAATCTTTGTCGAGTTTCATAAAACAGCATTTAGTTTTTTTTTTAAATCCAAGCCCCATTTCAGACAACATCAACAACATACGTACTTACGCACAAAAATACCTTTTCCAATTTTGGCCCCTTACACGACGATCTTCATATTGAATTTATAAACAGAATTATACAAATCAACAGTATCAAACATTTTCATAAACTAGAACATTATACAAACTTTATAGTCACTCGGCTTCTTGAGACACCAACTTCATGAAGACTGCCCAAAGATAATATGGAGGACCCTTAGAACCACCACAACTTTATATGGACAGAAGAGTAGAATCACTTATTGAAGCGGTTCTCTAACTATCTATACAATATTTATCAGATTAATTTATATGTGTGTTTGAAAGTGTGTGTGTATGTGTGTAATAGCTCATAGAATTGTCCTGTATTCTGATTGCTATTGAAAACAAAATTTTTAAAAAAAGGTACCAAACGATTCAAAATGACATGAAATGTCGAGAAAACATGGAATTGGCAAGTAAGATTTTTGAACGAAAACAAACTTCTCCTTCGGAATCTTAATTATTGAAGTTTCCGTTCATCTTTATAATTACAGCCTTCGTGTTCAAATGCTTTGAAGTACATATATACTTTTGAGTACAATAAAGTTAAAATATTTATAAATATACAGTGTTACAAATGTTTCACATCTCTGAACCATATGAATTGGAAATACATTTTGAAGAAGCTTTTAAAAGATGAATGTTGCTATAAGCATGCATCTAATTATAGAAATTACATATAATAAATCCTGACTGACAAAATGTCATCGACGAAGGATAATGGTTTCATCGCCGGGAGCAAATCACGACCAGAGTCAAAAAGGTCATGACAGATATATAAAAATGATATATCAAATTTGTCGCAATGAGGAAAACTTAATCATGTTATAAATTCTGAGCTGGATTAGTAAATCATTCAATGAAGTGACTACAAATAACCGTCTATGGGCCCACGTAACTTTGAGGTGACTTCACAAATTTTTCAATATTTTACCAAATAATTATGGCTTTATTCGTGAGATAAAGCATAAAACTTTTCATACAATTTATTAACGTTGTCAAAACGACCAATATAAATATTTACGACCTTTGCTAGGTTTTTGAACCTGAAATAACATTTTCATACACAGAAGTGCGAACATCATAATAAAATTTATTTCTATAAAGCCATCATTAAACCAATTTGGACATACGGCATACAGCTACGGGGATCAACTTCCAACTCAAACGCTTTAATAATTCAAAGATTTTAAAACAAGTTATTAAAAGAAATTTTGAAAGCACCAAAGTATGTTCCAAATTGATTAATACACAAAGACACAGGCACTAGCACAGTTAAGGATGAAATAATCGCTTACTCACACAAATATAGAAATCACCTAGCTGATTACCCGAACTTGCTCGCCAGAAAAATTCAGAACAACTCTACCAAGGCCCGATTAAAAAGAAAATTTCTTCTGCATTAATCAACAATAGACAAGACCTTCGACAAATCACTGGCAATGGTCAGATGATTTGTTTCTTGCCAACGCCTTCAGTTTTATGTCAAATATTTTACTTGTCCGTTTCAAGACAGTTGTAAAAATTATTAAAATAATAATAAAAAAAAAAGATTTGCGAACATTATAGGCTGTGCCTTGATACTCACATGATTCATTAAACCAAAAAAATTCTTCAAGCAGCAAAGAAAACGTGATTAGCAGTTATTTTACATATATACTATATCTGTTATAATGTACGACATATTGGACCAATATATTTTTCATTCATAAATTGAATTAATTGACCAATATCAATTGCATAATTAGTACCTGCAACAACCCCTTTTGCAAAATAGTTTGCAAGTGCTGGAACATACTCGTGACCTGAATAAGTCTTTGCGATCAATATCATTACGAAATGTTCTCTAAAGTACATTAGAATTCTAGAAATTACTAGTTCTTGGAAATACCAGATTCCAAAAATAATATTCAACAAATATAAAAGTCTAATAATATTTTAATATAAGTATTTCAACGATATCTCAACGCGATCAACAGGTGATGAAGTAGCTTGAAGAATATAACTATCAAATTCGGTGATATCTCATTAGTTAGAAGCTCTTTTGCATTTCACTTACATGAGGTCTACTTGATGACCAAAAATGAACAATGAAAGAAAATACTCATAATAATATTTATCTATTTTGACTTAGGACTTTTCATGGTAAATTATCCTGTTTCTGTGCTTTAACCAAGTCATTTTTTTTTTAAATTCGCTTTGTCATTGGAAATTGAATAGTTGGTCGGTTCATACGTGAATCAAAAGAGGTTTAAGTAGATATAGCCCTGATTTAGCGATCTCAAAACTTTAACGCAAATAAATGTGCTTAATGAAATTATAATTTAAGCAGTATTGCTCTTTAAACTTATATATATATATATATATATATATATACAGTGGCGTCGGAACCGTGTGGGCTGTGTGGGCTTGAGCCCACCCATGAATTTTGATGGGGGGGCTCAGCCCACCCATCAATTTCAAAAAATTATATGGGCTAATATCTCTTAAAAAAATGAGACCACTGGCTGCCTATCTAAAAAAAAAAAAAAAAACGAGCCCACCCATCAAAAATTTGGTTCCGACGCCACTGTATATATATATATAACGTCAAGTAGATTCTATGACCATAACAGCATAAAACATTTACGAATTTATATTAAAATTAAAATAATATAATTAATTACCTTCAGTATTAAATGCCACTTATTTATTTAAACATTCACTTTGTTCACATATTTACAATACAAGTGTACATACTTCTTGAGTCTTTGCGGATAATAACTATAAGTAATGTGAAATTTAAATGTGTATTATTAAAACGACAGATCGCCTGTCATTTTCCTGTATCGCTTAAATAGATTATTGTATTGAAAATGAACCAATTTGCACTTTTCGTATTTGCACTTTATCTATGCCACTTTAAAAAATATTCTTTATACTTTATACAAGTACTATATCCTAAAAATGGTAAACAAAATATCCGTCATTTCGCACGACACTTCACCTTGAAGCTAGAATCATTTCAAATACGGACCTGAATTCCAGCGTCACCAACATAACGAGCGAACAGAATCACCAACATAATGAGTTGGCGAACAGAATCAAAAATCTGCCATAAAATCACAAACTTCAAAATTTTTGTTTACTGGCAGAAATAAATATATAACAGCAATCGTTAATATAATTTAAATTATATGAAATAAACGACAGTGCTTTCATGAAAAGTCTAAAAAAAAAACAAAAATTATCAAAAGTGAATCATTTTCATATGTCAATGACAAATCTGCGAATAAATGTTAGTGTTGGTCACATTGATACATTCTTTGCATTGAATCTTCAGCAAACGTGTTGAGGTGTTGAGATTCTACTAAGTATTTTCTGAAGCAAAAATGCCGAAAAATAAAGGAAAAGGAGGTAAAAACAGGCGTCGTGGAAAGAATGAAAATGAAAGTGAAAAGCGTGAGCTTGTGTTCAAGGAAGATGGCCAGGAATATGCCCAAGTAACTAAAATGCTCGGAAATGGAAGGTTGGAAGCGATGTGCTTCGATGGTACGAAACGTCTTTGTCATATTCGAGGAAAACTTAGGAAGAAGGTCTGGATTAATCAAGGTGATATTATATTAATTGGATTGAGAGATTATCAAGATGCGAAAGCTGATGTGATTTTAAAATACACCCCCGATGAAGCCCGTAACCTCAAGACATACGGCGAGTTCCCAGAAACGGTGCGCATTAATGAAACTGTTACTTTCGTTGAAGACGGATTCGATGAGGATATTGAATTCGGCGATGAAATCAGCAGTGATGAAGAAGGTGATCCCGTAGATGCTATATGATGCTTTATAAATATCTTTTTTCCATTTAGTACTGTCAAAAAATTTATCATTCTCGTGTCATAAATCGGCGCCATGTTTTACCGAAATCTATCGAAGTGTTACGAATATTCTATGCATGCGTATGCCTTCTTTTCCGTCATTTTGAGTATCCCATTTCTTTTGATAATATGCAAAAATGAACACTCCATCGGCAGCCCAAGTGTTACGTTTATATAAAAATTTACTACGATACGGACAAAACCTCCAGTACACCGATAAGGATTATTTCTGCAATCGCATAAGAAAAGAGTTTCGGAACAATAAAACTTGTTCTAGAACAGAGGATTTAATTTTCAACTTTGAGGTGTGTATTTATTTGCAGTAAGGAACAAATTACCTTTATTTATTCTGTACGACCTTTGCAGAAAGGAAGGGCACTCTTAGAAAACGGCCGAGTTGTGTGACGATACATAACCTTAAAATATTTCAAAATGATAGCATACCGAAATCTTTCAAGTTTTTTACACCCTGCTAAACAGTTAAACTATAGTTTGTTAACTGTGTACCGTTCCAAACATGTAATAGATCGATCTAAGGTACCCGTTTTAATTGAAACAGAATTAGAAGAGCAACATGTACGAGGAAGTGGTCCTGGCGGGCAATCTGTAAATAAGACATCTAATTGTGTTATATTAAAACATGTACCTACTGGTGGGTTCTTTATTAATAAATAATTAATTTTAATTGGACTTTTAATATGTGAAACATGGTTTTAGGTATTGTTATAAAATGTCATGAAACTCGATCACTTGATCAGAATCGAAAGATTGCTCGTAATATACTGGTTACAAAACTTGATAACCTCATGAATAAGGAAAATAGCGTAGAAGCTCAAATTAAAGCAATAGAAACCAAAAAATCCAAAGTAAAAGCAAAGCGTCAGAATAAATTGAATGAGTTAAAAGCAGAATGGAAAAAACGGGAAGGACTGACGTAATTTCATGTTAGTATTTTATTTTCTAATAGTCCCATTAATTAGTTAGATATTAAGTATCGATATGCTTGTGATGATCAATCAGTGAAGTGACAAAGCACATTATGGGAAATGATTGGTATATAAAATGTGTTTGGAATATTAAATTCTTATTATAGGTTCTATTAAATTGTATCAACACTATTTATTTATAAATATCGAAGTGGTGCTAATCTGCTTTTTGTTTGTCATTAAGTAAAAGTGTTCGTAGTATAAAAATACATTGTTTATTTAAAATGTAGACCTCACATATTATGGTGCAGTCTTTTGTTATACTAATATTCACCTCATGTAAAGTCATGTATATGTTTTATAGTAAATAGATATGTAAATGTAATGTTCATAGAATTGGTAAAACATTTTTTTTTGATAAATAATGTATTAATAAAATTGTTTTTATTTATATAATTGTTTCATTTACCACGAGCTAAAGTTATTAAACCCATATTCCCCCTCCTTTTTTCTTTTCTTTGGTACAGTGACACTTTGCTCCGAACTGTGAAACAAAGTTCTATTTTATAATTTATATAATAAACTGATAAATACTCTCATAAAACAGAAAATGTTAACAATAAATTGATGTCAAATATAATTTCTTACTCATTGTTGCTGCTTGATGATGATGCTGCAGTATTCAAATACTTTCCTACTCCTTCACGGAACACTTTTAAAGGGCCTCTGATTGTTTTCTTTGTTTTTTCGCTTTCCTCTTTTGTTTGTTTCTCTAATTCCTCTTCTCTTTCTTTCAGGAGCTAATAATATTGAAAGATATATAAATATAACTCTGAATACTCTTAAATAAACATTTGCTAATAGAAACCTGTTCATCTGCCTCTGCAAAAGGATCTACAAAAACTTGACAATTTCGTATTGTAATATTCTCAATTGGTCTATCCTTGTTGTCAACTTCAATTTTCTCAATTTCATTTAAAATATCTAAGCCACCTACTAATTTTCCAAAAATTGTGTGCTTACCATCTAAATGTCGACATGAACGATATGTTATAAAGCTAAAAATTACAGGGTAAATGTAACCATTTAAAATTTCAATTTAATTTTTGCTTTAAAAATCAAAATATATATAAAAATAAAGTAAATGAAAATGTAAGTTTTTATACGTACAACTGAGATCCGTTTGTATTTGGACCTGAATTAGCCATTGATAATACTCCTCTGCCAGTATGAGTAAGATTTGGTTTAAATTCATCTTCAAATTTTTTCCCCCATATTGATGTTCCACCCAAACCTGTGCCTGTGGGATCTCCACCTTGAACCTACAAATTTTATAATTCAATATTAATGTATATAAAATAGAGTTTCAATTTGTGTATCGGTTATGCTATATGATATGCATAACATTGAAATAATTTATTGTTTAGATTTAGTTAAATTATATTACCATAAAGTTTTTTATAGACCTATGAAATTTTGTTCCATTGTAATATCCATTTTGACAATGCTTAAGAAAATTCTCACATGTTTTAGGTACAACATCACAAAAGAGTTCAATATTTAAGGCTCCCATACTGGTAACCAGTCTAACATACCCTATAAAATTATGATTTTAATTTAGTTTGCCTTTAACTCAATATTTTACATATGTTATAGTATATTATCTACAAACCTTTCTTTTTGACTCTTTCATATCTAACTAAATCTTCATGTACTATGGCTGCTTCATACTTAGTTTTTGGGACCATTGCTGTGGAAGTAAAACTAGCGGCCACTTTGCCAGTTGTATAATGTGCAGCATTAAATTTATCTGGCTTTTCCTCATTTTCCTCAATCTTTTCTGCAGCTTTATATGTACGATTAAGTTCATCTAAAGTATCCTTCGTTTCACTAGAAACAGTTTTCAGGCGAGCTGTTGGATCCTTCTTAAGTGCTTTTTCCTCTGAAAATATATTAAAGCATAATAAAATCTTAAAAATAGAATACTAAAAAAACTGTAAAAAGTATTAAATATTACTTTAATAAAAAATAAGAAGTTATAATACTAATAGCTATCATCATAAGGTCAATTTCATTATTAGCTTAACTTACCTTCTGTTTCTACTCTCACATTATTTTTAATGTGATAAAATGTAGATAAATTGAATTTCTCTAAATTTTTTGGGTCTTGAATAACAATTAAATCTTTACGTTGGAATGGCTTATCATTAATCAAATCTTTCCAGTTTTTTGTTTTAATATTAAGTTGTTCTATTGCTTCATATGAAAAAACATTGCCAGTTGTAGACACTGCCACAATGTGTGAATTAGGAGTGAATGGTTTAAATAACACAGGGCAATGATATGCGCCTTCACTGTTTCTATAAAAATTTAACTTCAGTAATGATTTTATGTCCATTGTCTGTAATAACAAATAACATAAAATCATTATAAATTCTTTATGCAACTTTTTGGTGAATTGTATCAGTCTATTAACAGAATTATAAACCTATTAAAATAATTATATCAACTTACCTTTCCGGTCACTGGATTGACTTTAAAATGCTCAATAAAATCAACAACCATTTGAAGTTCGAAAACATTTCCATCTGGGTCACAATAAGGGTGTTCAAAGTGAATTAAAGACAAGCAGCAATGGTCAAATGGGAGCCTTTTAAATGTAACATCATCTGTCGTTTGAACACCAGATTTTTTACCTCCATATAACGTAGTCCATTCCGTATATGTTAGGTACCTAAATAAGAATCGACGTTCAAATGAAAGAAAAAAATAAAAATAATAAATAAATAAGGCACAAAACCACATTAACTAATATATTAAATATAATATAAAATCTTACATTTTATCCTTTTGATGTTGTCTTTTACCCATTTTGAATGCTTGATTTTAACACTTTTTGAATTCAATACAATAATAAACGCCTTTTATTTAAATAAACTTTTTAATTCAAAGTAAAACTTCCTTTAATTTGACGTAAAATTATAATGTGTCAGAGGTTAGTTTGCAAACAATCTACGCAACTGTCAAACAAGCAGCACAACCAACGTAAGCACATAACAGTTATATTTTGAAAAAAGAAAACAGTTTAGTTTTTTCTTCTAAAACGCAATATTGCGTCTTAATCCAATTTTTTCAGAATGGATTTTTTATTTTATGAAAGCCTTAATTCCTACTGTTGAGTATAGTACAGTATATTTGCAATAAGAGCCTGTTTGCATAATAAATATACCTGTAGTTAAATGGATGTATAAGTGAATATTTATAGTTATAGATAAAAAATGAATTATTATTAATTAAATTATATAAATTATGAATTAAATTGATATAAATTAAATAGTACTATAACTATATTTATACACCATATAAATATAATAAAATACTTATCTATTCAACTAAGAGCTTAGTGATGATGTATTGATATACATTGTGTATATATATATATATATATATATATATATATATATATATATATATATATATATATATATACACTAATATAATAATAATATAATAATACTATTAATATATATATATATATATATATATATATATATATATATATATATATATATACATTAGAGTATTAATATATTCATAATGTAGAGTACAATCAAACTTTTATAACGCCACTGGCCAATTTCTTTCTTTCTTGGGCTTCATGTCTCACTGCAATGCAAGTAGCTGCTTCAACACCTGTTAATGGTTTATTTAATCTGTAGGAATTGCAGCTGATAAATGAAGGTTCCTCTTGAAAATGTTCTGGGCTTGAATTTTCTTGTTTATTATTTTGAGATAAAGCTAGTTCTGTTAAATAAGCTCTCAAAGCCTTCTTTAACTGAATATTTTCACGAGTCAATGTCTTTTTTTCTGCGTTTAAATCCATACAGTCGATTTGTGCTTGATTGACCCTGCACCAAAATCTGTTCATTTTGTCTAACTCCAGATCTTTAGTTAAAATCTAAAGCAATGAAACAAAATTAATTTGATATAATTTTTTTTTTTGCATAATATTAAGAACTTCCATGGAAGTTCCAGGTTCAACACACTTCAGACAGCCTGATGCAAGTATTAGTGATGTAAGTTTTTAAAAGCTATCAGAATTAGAATTTTTAATTTTAAAATAAAAAACTTTGGCCAACAAAGCATGGGTGTGTAAAGGTCATGGTCAAAACATCAAAACTAACACTATTACCTGAATGATAAAAAATTAAGTCAATAATTCCATCTGATATCACTCATTGCTAATATCATTGAGAATAACAATACAACTGAATATCATTGATATTGTTGTAACAACATCATGTAACATATAATTTAAATTATAAATGATTGATCATCAGAAATAATTGATTTTGGTTAATCTATATAACTATTTTACTATCTCCATATGAATCACACGCGGAAAAGCTATTTTCATCTGGAAATTAATTTTTGATCGACATTTCAAATAGATAATATCACTACTGCTTGATATCAGGTTGTATGCAACGAGAGATTTGAACCTGGAATCTTGTGGTTCTATACATTTAAAGACAAATTTAGAAGTTTGATCAAATATTTTATGTGTATTTTACCTGAAATTCTTTGTTTTTCCTATTCTCTTTTTCATCATCTTGATCATTTACCGAAGAAGTCGAAGCACTTCCATCAATAAGAATAAGATTTCGATTATTTGGTCCCCAGGGCAATAATTTTTCTTTTTCAGTTTCATATTTACTGCATAATGAGAACATATACAGTAGCTGATCGCCCTTCTTTTTTATATTCGTGAGATACTATATAACAAATCGAAACTACTTTAGAACATATTGTTGGTGTAAGATTACTTTTATGCTTTACCTTAATTGCTTTATTTGCTGAAGTAACCAAAACGCAAGCTTGAGATTTGTCTTTGGCGTTACCAGCTATCATTTTTTTCTTTATATTACTATGGTGTTCCAAAAAATCCATTTTTTGTTTAAGTAGATTGTCTATTCTTAGCTTATGCTCTTCACGAAATGATGTAAATTCGGCTTTCAGATTTGCAATTTGATTCTGAAATTGAAAATTCGTATTTAATGAACTAGATTTCTATAGATACTGGCAATTAATATGCATACCGTTGCTTGTTCAATTTTTTCTGATATCTCTCGTATGGCATTTGTATCCTCGACTTCTTTTTTTGATAAATCTTCGTAATCGGCACGAATTTCTTTTGTTTGTTCTAAATAATCATTTAATGTTTTTTTGAACCTTTCCCACATTTCTTCTAATTCGGCTTCTTTCTTTGTAGTTAGCATCAGCACATCTTCTATGCACTAAAAAAAAGCCATGCTATTCTTAACGGCATATTTTATATATAATAATAAAATAGTTTGTAAACAATATAATATTTCGTTTTTTTTCATTTATATAATAGTCCAGTCGATATAGTAAGTTCACCTCGGAATTCGAGATACTCAGCTGTAAGTCTGTAAATACTTGTATTTTGCACCCTAAAAGTTGTCTCAAAACCTACATATGTTGCGTACACCCTACCATATGTAGGTTTTGAGACAACTTTTAGGGTGCAAAATATAAATATTTATAGACTTACAACTGGGTATTTCGAATTCCGAGGTTCTTACCTAATTTATGCTTAAATGACTGGACTATAAGGTGAATTATGTTTTCTATTTCCATTTTCCTAACTAATATAATAACAATTGTTATCCACAATATTAATATTGTGATTTTACATTTACTATTATGACAATTAAATATGCACAATTTTTTATAAATATATGATAGAATATTTTATCTATATAAGTCGATTAATTAAACTCTTTTATATACGAGGTATGTATATGTATATATATTTATAGCTCTTTCAATTCCCATATAATATATATATATATATATATATATATATATAAATATATATATATATATATATATATATTTTTTTTAAATCTTTTTTACTAGTTATTGACGAAGAAAACATTTCATGTCTCTGAAACCTAGAATTTAATTAAGGAGGGCTTTATATCAGAAAATTAAAATGATCATATATAATAATGATAGATATAAATAAAAACTTAAACAGCATATATATATATATATATATATATATATGCTTTTGATAAGAAATATAGCATTATTAGCTAATGCAATCAGAATAAACAAGTTTCCCAGAATAAGCCATATTTCACAATTATTATTAAACGTTGTGCATGAAATGTAGAGCAATAATATAATCTAGTTTGAAATGAATACAATGATGTCAATCAATGTCTGCCGATATGATGGGGTTACTTATTTTAATTAGTGGATATCCGTTTCAAAATTCTTTTGTACTTGCGTTTATTCCATGCAGCTGAAACCTATAAATATATGGGCATATGCCAGGAAAAACAGTTTTACTCAAAAAGTGATACAAGGCAATAATGAAAACGATCCTACCGTTGATGGCATTCGTATGTGTGCTGGCCATAGGGGCCCAGGTAAGAGAAATAATATTATTTTGAGTCAGATTTATATCTTTATAATGAATAAACACTATGTAATGAGTTACAGCTAATTTCGAGCTAAAAGTCACGTAAAAAATTAGTACTTTTGGTCAGGCTTATTTTCGGGTTTTTGGCGTTTTTTTGGTATAGAACATAGGAGTATTAAAATGAATCTTTCATTACATTATTTCTGGCTATTTAATGTTCATTTAGATTTTTGTCCAAGTGTCCTAAACGCTCTATAAGCCGCGGAATCGCCAAAAATAGTGAACCTTTTTTTGGACAAGTTTCGATTTTTTTTAAACTTTGAATTCGCACAATACAAAAACTGATGTATCTAGATGCAAAAAATGTCTATAGCAAATATCTACCTTCATAATGAAAAATCATATGCGTTACAGCAAAATTAGTAAAAAAATTTTACTAAACAAAATTACTTCCTTTTTACTAAAAAGAAAGTATGTTTTTTACTTTTTATTGTAAACGGTATACTAAAATTTCAACGTGGTAACCGTTCACAGTACACAAGTTATTGTTTTAATTTTCGTATAATATTATTCATTTCAATTTCGTTAAATAATTTGCGCCGGATAATGAATATTTACACATATATTTTATTCGGCGTCAAATATCGCAAAATGAAATTATAAAAAATCGGACGCCTAGTTCTCTCAAAAACTGCCATTTTTTGCACATTCAGCTCTATATTTCCGAAACCGCTAAACCTGCCTTTGCCAAAAAGTAATTAACACTTCTCCCCGTCATTACGAATTGAATGTCTTTTGGATCATTCGAATCCGATGCTCCGACCTCTCAAAAACTCGATTTCTATTTTCTGCATTATTTGCTCCGTATCTCCAAAAATGGCCTTTGCCAAAAACTAATCAGCACATCTCCCTATCAATAGGAATCAAATGTTTTTTGAACCATTCAAATCGGTTGATCCGAGCGCCCGAAAACGCAGACGAAAAATTGCAACCATACATACATACACACACACATCCATTTTTTCTGAGGTATGCCAAAATGTTCAGAAACGTGAAGAAATGTAAATATTTTTAATTTCGATTTTTGGACGATTACAATAACTTACCCTACGGTAAGTTAAAAATATAAATAGATTCGATTTAATGTTATTAATTATAAGGAATATATTAATTGTTTCCCATTAACAGTTTAAATAAATATATCTCAAAAATATTCTTTTTTTTCATTTATTCGCTTTTCGGCCTATATAAATGATTTTATTTGATCCAGGAGAAAACAGAATAGAAGTAGAGCGCGTAGAACACTTTTTGAGATCAACACTGAAATCGATCCATATTTGTGCTACAGGTTAATAAAAATAAACTATTATAAATAAATAAATATTAAATCATTTTTACGTTTATTAAAAAAAAATATATTTGTATGACTAACTATACAAAACAAATCACATGTGGAACGTAAAAGTCGTCGTTTTGTGTAATTGCTTTGCACCTATATAAGAAGCCCCCAATAAAACATTAGATATATCATAAGAGTATGTTTGTTAAAATTTTAATATAATAAATGGTCATTTATCCCCAAGGCACTACGATGCCAAACGGAGGACGGCCCAGCGCCTGAGCAAGTCCAGCGTGTGATACGTAAATGTATGAAACGAGCTGGTTTGGGAGGCCACGACATGGATGACGACCGCGGTCACGGTGGTCACGGCGGCGGTCGGGGTGGCCACGGTGGTAAAGGCGGCAAAGGAGGCGGTCGTGGCGGCAAAGGCGGTAAGGGCGGCAAAGGCGGCGGCAAATTCTCCGAAAGTGAATCGGGCAGCGAGGAAGATGAAAGTGAAGAGGAGTCCGGCAGTGATGAGTCGCAAAGTGAAGAGCAACCACAAGTAATGGAATTACCTAAGCAACAGTATTACTTCATATACCATATGCACTTTATTGCTCTAAATGCAACCAAAGCGGCTGTTACGTAACGTACTAGTAAAATAAACTTTAACAGTTAAATTTTGTTAAAACAAATACATTCAATTACTGCATGTAAAATTTGCTCCAAGCTTGTAAACTTCACCTTATTCAATTTATCACACATTATTTTAATTTCAAAAGTTACTTTATCATGTATTTTAAAGTGTGAAATAGTTTGTAAAACAAAACACTTTAATTGTAAGAATGATTATAATGTTTTACAACAATTTTTTGAAATTACTTAATTTAGACATTATTTGGCATATATTGCTTATGTTAAAATAATGATGAATAAATTGATTAAATATTATAAAAATTCTATTATTTAATTCCTTATTTTCCAAAACAATCATTCATACAATTATCGTGTTTTAAATTTCAGATAAAATTTGAGTAGGGTAGGACGGGGCTAGTTGAGCAAATTTTTACTTAAACGGATGTAGCTCCCCAACGAAAAGTCTCAATAAATTACTATACGACTTAATGGATTTGTTGTTTATCGCTTAACAAAAGTGTTAATACTATTTTTTGGTGATAAGTAAAATTTAAAAGCTACAGCTGTTGAAATGCAAAAAGTCAAGTATGCTCAATGTACCCCATAGGTGGGGCAAGTTGAGCACTAAGAAAGTATAATGAAATCATAGGTTCAATGTCGATTAGTGATGAAATAAAATAAGTTTTTAATAACCAGTTCTATATTTATAGTCTTTATTGATAGAGAAACCAAATCTTATAGTAATTTTCTTTGAATAATTAACCAAAAGTAGAATCAACAAAATAATATCGTATCTTAGGAATTATTTTGCCATTATATTCAGTATTTTAGTTTAAAATCATTATTTCTTCATATTATTACTCATAGACTTAGCTTAAATCTTAAAAAAAATAATTAATTTCTGGAAGTTAATGGTTGTCTTAGTGACAGAACAAGTTTAGCAACTATGCTCAACTAATCCCAACTCGGAATTTCAAAATAAAAGTGAGTTTATAAAAAAAAAGGTGAGAATTATACCCAGAATCTCTGTGCATTTTAAAAGTACTATAATTATATGGAAGAATAACATTTACCTGATTAAAAATAAATAACATTTGACTGAACCAGACAAAAACTCGTGATGAATTACTTTTTTACTTTTTGGTCTCAAAATAAACAAAACGCCCGTGAGCCTCACTCATTGGTCCAGCGGCCACTAGCGATCGCGGGATGTTTATTTCTCCCAAACCTCTATCTTTTCGCCATATAATGCCTAAACGAACGGTGAATAGTTTTCGAGGTATTTCGATTGCTCAACTTGCCCCTATGCTCAACTAGCCCCGCCCTACCCTAAGTATCCAAATTTCGTTAAAGAATAACTTCAAAATTACATAAAACATCGGTTTCATGCCTATAAAAATATATAACCATAATATTGAATAACATGTTATCGCTCTTACAAAAATCTCAGAATAAGAAACACGGTAATCGACGGGGAAATAAGAATACGAAACACAAAGGCAGATACTTTGCACGATTTCGGCGTCATACCGATTTCGGAGGCGATTTTGGAGGTGGTGGAGGTGGTTTTGGTACCGGAGGAGGTTATCAACCCCAACAGAACAACACCGACACGGACGCCAATTGCATTATGCATTGCTTCCTCACAGAAATGAAAATGGTAATATATTATATACATCATTAAAAAAATTGAATCAAAATTAATAAATATGATTAAGAAATATTAACAAGTATAAGTAGAAAAGTCTTAGAACTTTAGGCAGCAAAGTTTCCAATTACTAATCAAAAAACAATGTTTATAAGTTTTATGGCTTGTTGTTATTGCATCAATTACTATATAGTAATTTGTTTGACATTGTTTTAAATTTCCATATTTTTCCTATGTAATATTTTTCATAATTCTGTATAACATTCTGTATGATTTGTTTTCGTGATCAGTATCACTTGTTCTGTCATTAGCTGGGATGTTATAACTGAACCATAAAATTGAAAAACATTATAAAATTAGACGTAATCTATTTATTTATTTCTAGATAATAAATGATTTAATTGAAAAATGTGTGTTTCTATTTCAGACTAATGACAAACAATTACCTGATAAACGAAAAGTTATAAGCGTTCTTACGAAAGATTTAAGAGATAGAGAATTGAAACAATTCATGCAAGAAGCTGTTAATGAATGTTTCCAAGTGCTTGATCTCGGTAAGATGACGAGAAAAATACAAATCATAAATTTGTATAAATCATACTTTCGTTAATAAATGTTTTACTCAATTTGCTGGATAATAATAATCATCAACGTTTTTTCAGATCGGCATAAAGAAAAATGTGAGTATTCTAAGAACCTTATATCTTGCCTGGCAGAACATGGAAAGGCCAATTGTGACGATTGGCAGGACAGTGATTCGTTACCAGTTTAATTATATAATATTAATTATTAATATTTTAATATTTGCACTCCTTCGATAATATTTGCAATGCTATACTACTTGTACTATACTATTACGATATGTACGATAGTTTAATATCGTTACTTAAATTATCAATTGTATTTCCGCACCAGTACACAAACTTATATTCAATTCACATTATAAATCTAGTGAATTTTTATAACAATTTTTTATGAAACAAATATATTATGCATGAATTGATTGGGAGTTTTTGTTATATGGATTCATTATTTTAATAAAAAATAATAATAATATAGATCATAATATGTCTTCAAGTGAAAATAGCTCTTCTGCAATGAGTATATATCACTTTTGCAAAAGACAACCAATGGGTGAACTACTAGCATAAAATACATGAATATAGAAAGAACCACCATTGGGTTGCCTTCTAAAAAGCGACATATCAATATAACAGCTTATAGAACTATTAGTTTTGATTGCTGCTCAAACAATAAAACAATAAAAAAAGTTTTATTCATATACAATACTCGACTAAATAAATTTTGTCGAAATAGGTTTGAAGCTATGATAAGCAAAAGGGGAGTAAGTAAAATATAATATATTATTTCTTTTGAAAATTCAACCACCAAGTTTTTTTTTTACAAATAATGTCCTAAATAAACTGGACTATTTGCTTTTCAATTTCGAAGATATGGTTTTGGCGAATATATAAACGGAATGTCTAAGAAAAATCATAATTATAAATATTAACATAATTTTGAAAACAAAAATTCAATATCTCCTATAATTATATTCAATGATAGTAATTAGTGCTGTTTATTTGTATATAAGCAATTAAATATGACTATGCATATACTCAAATTGCCTATTTTTACAACAATCAGCAGGAGGTAATGTTTTTTATACATACAATTCCATGATTAGTCAAAATATGACAATAATATCAAATTATCTTTATCACTCTCAATAAAAATAATTTCCGAGTATGACTAGTAAAATATTTTCCTGTGCTTCATATAAGTCTAAACTATAATATAAAACATTAATAATCGTCAACACCAGTCATTCATAAAGTTCTTCAGCATGCAGAAGTTAATTGTTTTAATATTTTTGACATCTAAAGCTATATTTGTAAGCTGTTTTTTAATGACTTTTTTCACGAATAATTATACCATTTTTAAAATTAATTGATGTATTAAGTTTCCGTTAAATTATATCTGAATATTGTTTTGGTCATTAATTGTATTATCATTTAATTAGAAAAAACAAATTTAAAATAAGTTGATTTTTAAGTGTTTTAGATGTCTAGATGACGCGACTACCGAGGAATTGACATTGATTTCCGAGATGTACTTTAGTTGCATTCCAGATGCGCCTTCAAAAACAGATATTACAACAGCAGAGGACACATATGATGAATGGGTATTTTTTTAATAATCTTAAAATTATTATTAATGCATAGAAAGCGTTTTCATTATTTAACGTTCTGTGGCTTCTCATTTAATTTTCTCTCTCAATTTTACTTTCGATGGCACCGTGCAGTAGAAATTCATTTTTCTCTATAGATCCAGTTCAATTTCGTTTTTTTATAATTTAGGTATCTTTAAAAAATATTTTAACATTGCTTCGAAAAATTTATATTTAATTATATGCTTACAGTAGAAATGCTCTACAGTACAAAAACTATTACAGTAGAAAAACTATTCTGATCGAGAATAAATCATCTCAAAAATTATTAACTTCCCGTAGGGTAAATTACAGTAATCGCAAAAAAATGAAAATGAAAATTTTTATATATCTTTACGTTTCAAAGGTTTTTAGATTTTGTCATACTTTAAAAAAAATAGATGTATGTGTGTATGCGCGGATACAAATTTTCGTCGACGATTTCGGGAACCCTGATCAACCGATTTGAATAATTCAAAAAACATTCGATTCGTATTGATAAGAAAACGTGTTGACTAGTTTTTGGCGAAGGCAGGTCTAGCCGTTCCGAAGATACAGGGCAAAAAGGGCCAAAACGATAAATCAGTTTTTAAAACGAAGCGTCCGATTTTCATAATTCAAAAACATTTTACTTGTATTGACAAGATGAAGAACTGTTCAAATGTGTGCGAAGGCAGGTCCAGCGGTTATTGACTCTCGATAAAAATAAGTTAAAAAAATGTCGTTTGGCGGTCAAAAATATTTATTGGAAATTATTAGAAATTTTATAAAGATTTTAATAATGTGTACACATTTTGTGTAAATTTTTTTGGTTTTCAATTACGGTACGGGAAGTTTCAGCAATTTGCCTGAAAGTACGATGCCATACACCCCACTAGTTTATATTTAAATTTATTACTATCACTTTATTATAAAATAAGTAGTTGAGGCACAATATAAATATAAGTTGAAATTGAAATGGTAAATTTAAAAACTGCATTTAGTCAATCATGAAATTTTTCATTGAAATATTTTATATATTTTCAGAATGAAAACCCCGTGTTTACTTCTGAAGAAATTCAGCGCAAGCGACGTGCAATATATAATCCCAATGACAATAATTTGCCATATTATGATGATATCAAAGATTCAGACAAGGCTTTAGGTCTTCACGATTGGGGATGCGTCTTACACTGCATGACAGGAAAAATGGGCTTGGTAAGAATAATTTGAATTAATAAATTTACAAATTTGACTATCACAAAATCTTACTACTATTCGGTTCACAGGTCAATCCAATGACTAATTTGCCAGATCGAAAGCTAATTTCAACGTACATTAAAACAATGAACGACACCGTTTTGCAAGAATTTTTATTTGCAACTTCGCATAAGTGTTTTGGCATAATACCATCAGGTTCGTAAATTGATATAATTATTTAAATCTAGCACGTGCTTTTAATAATAAATAATAAATTAATGAAATCATTTCTGTTCTACAGATCAAGATAGGTGCGATTTCACCATGGATTTGGTGGAATGCATTTGGTCTCGTTTGGACGCCAATTGCGAATGAAATATGCATTTTTATTCAGATATAGAAAAGTAATATATCCAATTAATGCTAAATATAATAACCTTTATAAAAGAGTTTTTGAAAGAAATATTTAAAATTAAATAACTTACATCGTGTTTTGCTTCATTGAGTATATCAATATGTTTTTCATTCATTTCTTCTGTTTCTTTATTGTGATATTTTATTTTTGAAAACTGCAATCGTTTTAAGTATAACAAATCATCGTTATATTTTTGTTCCGCCACTTCGCGTTCCAAACGTGAAGCATCTATTAAAATACGTTTTTTGGAAAGAAATTTATCACGTAGATCATCTAATGCGGAACTGTGAAAATCTATACAACGGAATATTATGTTAGATTAATTTTTTAGTAAATTACATTATTTATTAAAACTATATTATTATTTAAATTACCTATAAGATTGTCCAAAGACACCATGTGGGCTTGTAAATTGTTTTGATACTGAGCTTCTGCTTCTTCCAATTCTAATATATGACCATCGATGGCGAGTCGTTTGCATTCCATGATGCGTTCAAAATTTTTCCAATCATCCTAAACATATAAAACATTTAAAAAAAATCTAATATCCAGATATAAATATATATAAATTTATATTTCATACCGTAAGTTCTTCTTTCATTTGTCTGCACTTAACATCTCGTAAGATTTTTCGCCAATATTCGTTAATCTTGGCCAGATTCAGTCGAGCGAATGCTTCTTCTCTTTTTAGTTTATTCTAATAAATAATATCAGTAGTAAATATAAATTATTAGTACATAAGATATTATATAAATATTAACAAAATTGTTTAAAATTTGGTTCAATATAATCTGATAAAACCCACTTTTATAAAAATTATAAAAACAACATTATTACCATAAATAATTATTTGCAGAACTTTGTAATCAAGGAAGCAGTCAAGCATAGTATTATGTAGCAATATGATATGCTAGTTTTTATGATATAATAGATAATGAGTATAATAATAATAATAATGATTGGATGCAGGAATAAGCAGTAGAAAAAAATTAATTAACCATTGTCTTTATCATATCGCATGAAAATTATCGATATTTTATACTTTTGTCATTTTTTTGGTTCAAATGCACTGTGTTTGAATAATAAAATTATATGGAAAGAAATGGTTTTTGACTTATATACCGATGTGAATAGAATCGCATTATTTGTTTGTCGATATCTTTTACAGTTAACAGTTTAGACAAAAAGTGATTCTGAAAAAATCGCATATTTTCAATGACATCTCGGTCAAATGATGAGCTAGGGAGTAGAAAATTGGTATACCGTATTTATTTGAAAAAAAGCTAGGAAATGGCATCAAAAGCGTTTGAATACTAGGTTGGGGTCAAATCTGTGTGGAAACACAATTAAACCCTTTAAAATTTATATATAATTAGATAAGAACAATTTTTAAAAAAGCCTTAAACATAATTGCACGTGAATAATATAATTAATTAACTTGATACTAAAGTTTGCCATATTTTAAAATTATATAAATGCAATTGTAAAATTGTACAAATAATTAATTGGACAGAAAAAGTGATATCGTTCATACCAATATCCTTAGACTTAATACTGTTATATATTATAAAATAAATATATTAAATGATAATTTATTTACATACTCTCATAAACATCGCAATGAGTTGCTGCTTTCTGCGTCGTGCTTCTTCTTCGATATCGGCTCGATGTTGCAAATATCGTGCCCGTTCCTCATCTGACATCCTAGCCAGTTTATTGGCTTTGCTCTTCTTTTTGGGACCCATGGTTGGATTTGAATCAATTCAATTTTTTTCACTGAAAAGTGTATTAAAATCGAATTAATTGTGGCTATTTAAATATTCACATGGCAAAATACAAATGCAAAAGCTGTAAATTATATTTTCCAATTTCCAATGCCATAAGATAAATAAATAGTTTATATTAAACTTCAAAGTGTAATAAATAAATCGTACTTTTAATTACCTTATAAAAGCTCTTAGATTTGATTTTGTTGCATTGATTTATATTTATATTTACATTGTATATCGAATGATTCAATTTTTTATTGAATAATTTTTACATTTTACACATTATTTTCAATAGATTTTCGAATATCTAATGCAAAGACAGCCTGATGTTAAGCAAAAGAGTCATCGATTTATACTTCAAAATAAAAATGGAAAAATATTTCTAAAAGTAAAAATAGCCCACATTTTACGAAAATTTTATTAAATAAAAATTAAAAAAACATTATCAGTATGAGAAAAATATTAAAAATAAAAATATATCAAATGTAAATTGATAATTGTAAAGAAATATCATCACAACAGCTTATAGGGATTTTAAGTTTAATTGCTTGAATTATAGGTCAAATTTAAAAAAAAAAAATTAAATCTAATGTAAGATTAACAGTCAAATAATGAAATCAAAGTCATGCTCGTATAAAATTTTGTGATTTGGATGTTTCGCAGCCTAAGGAGGATTCTTCAATTTAAATATATTTCAGCTTTATCTAATATATAAAATATTAGTGTAATATTATTTTTATTGAATGCTGTATGATTTGAAATTTATATTAAATCTGCATTATACTCATTATTCATTTTTAAAAAAATAATGAATTGAAAGTCATGCAGTTTTGTATAAACGTTTGTGATTTAGATGTTCACTGTTCAAAAAGATAATTTTAAACTTTTTGTTGAAATATAATAAATTTACTTATAATTTAGAAATTAATTTAATTTTTTTTAAAATATTATTTACATTTACAAATTATTTTCTAAAGTTTTTGGAATTACTTATGTAAGATTATCAAGCAAAGAACGAAAGAAGAGTCATACTAAAACTAAAAAGTCATACTAAAAGTCATACTATTTTTTAAATGTTTTTCATCCAAGGAGTTAAAGTTTTAATTTTTTTAATAATTTATAATTATTCAATTAACGAGTGAATTAATACAATTAGTGCCAGAAAGAATATTTGGATTCATCACATTTTCTTTTGGAATGCAATGAAATAAAAATTAATCTTGCAATAAAATAGAATAAATGGTGAATATGTGGAATTTACACATTTTATATCGACAAAACTATTATAAATAAAATTCACATATATAAATTTGATCATACAAATCCTTGAAATTTCATTTAATTATTGCATAATAAGTAATTTCATTAAGTTGTAAGTTATTTATAATCCATAATCACCACGCGCGATCAATACAACTTACATTAACTTCACAAATTTACTAAATATTTTTTATTTCACTTCCACTTATAATGCTTCTATTAAAGCAGATTTATTAATAAAACTTCATATAAAAATTAGCTAACAGAAACACTTTAGGCTTGTAATGTTTGATCTATATGAATTATATTCCTAACGACCCTCACGACCCTCACACTGCACCAAGAAACCGCCCCGCATAAGTTCAAGGCCTCTGATCGCGTCACAGTACGCCATGGAAAACATATTTTGTTACACACTCAAATAAATAGAAATAAAATTATGTTCATATCGAGGATTATTTATTTTTAACTGTATCATTCACATTTTTATAACTTATTTAAAATCATGGCTCCAGGACATCATATTCACAATGAAAACAGCGGCGTGGCGGAAGATGTTGGTAAGTAACTAATTTACACAACGTATTTTCAGTCAAACTTTATTATAAATATGTGAATTATTAAGGATTCTTGTATTATAGTTCTTTATTAGATTAAAAATAAGTTAAAAATAGCGGTTTAATTACGTTAAACCACTACTTATGGAAAGGATTTTCTAATGTCGCCGTAAAGTAAAAAAAAGATAAAAAGCTAATACACAATGATATAAAAAATATGAAATTTTAAGAGGAAGTCACAAACTAGGTGAAAGCGTCATTTTGCTATAAGGCAAGTTGCTTCAAGATATGTGTAAATAATCGACCTAATCATTAAGAAGACAATATATTAATTAACGAGAGATTCATAAGCATACCAATACCAAGTTGCTATATGATCTTAAAATGTCAATGCAATTTAATTAATTTTGTATAAATTTGCCTAATGTGTTAGTTTTGACAAAATGTTTATATGTTATATATCATTGAACAAACTCCTAATTATTTACACGGAGTAGAAATTTATTAAAAGAGCGGTCCATTAATCTAATCTTTAATGAATTTGGTTTAAATCTAAACTCATATACCGACATATTTTTCCCAAATTTGGAGTCAAACGATGCAGAACGACAAAATAAATAATATTAGCGCCGGCAAAATAAATTTAGCATGATAATGCTATTTGAGATTTTATAGATTTTATGTTTAAAAATTTAAACAGATTGTATATCTAAAAATAACAAAATTTCAAAGCGGCTTTGCACAGTAAAATATAGATTGAAACGAATATAAAACTTATAGAATTTCAGAAATTTGAATATTTATGAATTATTAATATTGAACAATACGTGCAAGTTTTTATTTAGGCTATTTTTATTTAATTTTTGTAATATACTCTAAATCTGTAATAACTTTCAACTTATGAGTATTTTGAATCTTTAAGAAGAAGAAAATATTCATTATTTATATATATTAGAGCGATTTTCAAACAGTGGGGCGCGCCCCCTCAGGAGGTCGCCAGGCTTTTCTAAAGAGGGCGCGTGCACCTGTTTCCAGGATACTATTTTCAAAAATAACCCAAAATTTTTAAAATGATATTGAACAAAAAATAAAAAGATAATTAGTTGTTATGCATACTTTTACACAGTATTGCATATTAATTTGTAGTCTGATTAAATTGTTGAAAAACGGAGAGCGCAATCAATTTTGTTATTAGAGCAGAGGAGCGCGGTGCGAAAAAAGTTGGAAGCCACTGATATTATTTCAATTTATACGAAATATTTTCTCGACTCTATCAAACATTTTAACAATTTATACCGAGAGTTTGCACTACTGAGAATTTGACTTAAGATCGGTAAAATACTAGGGCAAAAAGTCAACGATACGTGGTGTTCCCAAGCGGTCTCCCATCTAAGTACTACCCACGCCCGATGTTGCTTGACTTCGGTGATCGGACGAGAACCGGTATATTCAACATGGTATGATCGTTGACAACAAGTAAATCTATACGATCATATGTATACATAAAGTTTTAAACGAAATTTCAGTAATAGTTCATTATATAAACACTACACTAAAATATTTATTCATTGAATGCAAATTCATGACTCAGAATTTAAAATAACTCGTTACTTATATACTACTTATTAATAACATTTGATAGTAATTATATTATTGAAAGTTTAAATTTCGTTTCATTAGACGCCGATGAACACTTGGACATCCACGAGCAAGAATTACAAATCCAGTCGGAGCGCATTATTCAGATAATGCACTCGATGGTTCACAATATGGAAGTTGCTGCTTGTTTACCACAATTACTGGATCGTCAAGATATTCTTCAGGAGCATTTAACAGAAGCGCAATTGCAGCAAGTCAACACCGCTTGTGCTAAATATCTCGGAATGCCTAGTCCCATACATAAGACTTCAACCTACCAGTGGATGGTAAGAGACAGATTTATTTTTAGTTTTAGTTATTAGTTTTTCACGTATTTGTTTGTAACTATTCAACTTTTTCAATAACAAATATTATTCCATTATGCCATTCCAGGTAAGAAGTACTGCTACATATCAAAAAACAGATCCAAAGGTTGATCCAAAGCTTGCAGCAGCTCTTGATATTATTATTAATTGTGAATCGCTCAAGCCATTCATTGAATCATTACTGGACAAAGTAAAGTCTATTAAAAATAGCAATCTTTTAAAAATAATTGTGAATAAAAACTTTTTGTTATAATAACGCAGGTCTCAGATGCTGCACGCGTTTTCTTAGATCACTTAAGACAATTAAATAAAATTGCTATTGATCGACTGGGTATCACTGCACAAGAAGAAGCTGATCGCGAAAAAAAGTTGCGCCTGGCTTGGAAAAATAATGAAAGGACGAAAGCTCAGATATTTGGTGAGAGTTTTGCCAAAATATGGTGAAAATAAATTACATATGAATACATAATTATAACAAATTGATGAAATATGCAGAGGTAACTCAGAAGTTGCAAGAACAACGAACTAGACTACATAAAAGCTTAAAGGAAAAAGAAAAAATCGTAAAAGAACATAAAGCGACAATTGCCATGATAAATGAAAAATGTGATCGGGAAACTTTCAGAAGAGTGTAAGAACAAAATTTGATTTTAAATGAATGGAATGTAAAATAATAATAATAGTTTTTGTCAGGATTATATATTTCTGATTATAACCTTTGTTTTTATACTTTTGCTACTCTTTTAATTTTATTTTCAGAAAGGAATCAGAAAGGGATATGATGTTGGATAGTAAAGCAAGTGAAGAACGACAAGAAATATTGAATGAAGAAGCTAGAGTGGCCCAAGAGCAGTATGATAAATTAGTAGAGCAGCATCTGACTACTGAAAACGATTTACGCACTAAAAAGTAATACCATGATTATATAATATGTATATTTGTAAGCAGATTTGTACATATTATCCTTATTTGTAATGTAATACTTTTTATGTTAAGGACAAAAATTGAATCTCAATTAATAAGTTGGTTGAACAAGTACGACACAGATATTGGTGAGCGTCAGAAGGAACTAGATGAAATTAATGGAGAATATGAGGCGGACAAGGCAGAATATGATAAACTACAGGTAAGAAATATGTTTGAATATTTGACTATTTTGTGATTTGTATAATTTGTTTCAGGAAATGTTCGAGAAACAAGAAATTGAATACAATATCCTCATGGCTGAAAAGGAAGAAGAGGAGCGTAAAGAAATGGAAGCCAAATTGTATGCCTTCTTATGCCACCGTGCCCAAAGGAGAATTCAGCAAGCTTGGAAGGCTTATAAACAACGGAAAATAGACAGAAAGAAGGTATTATAATAGTATATAAGTATTTTTATATTATAAAATATTATCAGAAATAATTCTTTCAACCTTTCAACCTTCAAACTTTATCTATTTCAAGATATTCAAAATTCTTGGTAATTACAACAAATTTTCAATTTCAATTGCTTTCTTACAAAGAGTAACAAATAGAACAATTAATAAATATAAATCAATAGTATATTCACAGAATTATTATTTAATCAATGTTTTATACTACACATGTTTACAAGCTCGTCGAAATATATTTGAATCACGAGATGGTTTCTCCAGAAAAACGATTTTGTATGGCATCGGAATAGCTATTCAATAAAAATTTTAATTTATAGCTTTTATATACATGTATTACTATGATCTTTTAACAGTTAAAAGCTTATGATAATACACGTAAATAATATTTTATCTAAAACAATAAATTAGAAGAATTGAGAGAGTCTATCCTAACATTTGCTACGTGTAGTATTTTGTATAACTAAATATTTTTTATCCCAAAAGTAAAAAGTTTTAAAATAGGGTTTTTTTTAAAAAAAAACACCAGGCTTTAAATAAAAATTGTTTAATAAATTGATCTGTTACTTTTATTTAGGAAAAAGCTCTTCGCATTCAAAAGATGAAGGAACTGAAGGCGTTGGCTAAATTAGAAAAGCAACAGAAAGCCGCAGAGAAAAAGAAGGGTAATCACATCAATAAATATAACAATATTCAATTAAAAATAGAACTAACATTGCATTTTGTTCTTTTTCAACAGAGGATAGTATAGATATAGCAGAGACATAAGGAAAAGTTAAATAAGAATAAGAGTCTAATTAAAAAAATAAGGGCATAATATAAAAAGTTCTGCCTTAATGGTTTCCGATAAACGCATCTCTGATGTGTGATAACGATCATTTAACTTGATTCCACTCTAAATGTGAAATTTAGGATTAATAATATAATTTTTGTTAATTAAGGAATTAATAATGACCAGGAATTTATTCATAATGTTATAACGCACCAATGCTTCAATATAAGTTAAGTTGGTTGATCATTTCTTCCAAAATGTATTCATAAAGTAGATAATCACGCAAAATTATTAAAAACATTATTAATCATGTAGAATTATTAAATTATACTTGATCTATCATGTATATATAACCAGATAATTAGTAATTATATAAGCAAATCGTAATATTATTTAAAATAGTTTATATTAAAAAATACATTATCATTTTCGAATTTAAAGCTACCAATTTGTTTCTAATGTTTTTTGTCATTTACAGAAAAGATGGCAGCTGAACTTAAAAAATCGTAAGTTATATTTCTTCACATCATAATAGGGTTTGACTTTAATCTTTAAATAATAGTAAACATATATGATATGAATATATGATTCATATAATATGAACATTATTATATATGGATCACATAAAGAATTATTCTGATCGACCATTAGTTGAGTAATAATGAGAAAAAATATATCGATCAGTTCTAGAATTTCTAAAACAACTGATCGCAATTTATGGTCGAAATTATGAATAATAGAAAAAATATTTTGTGGCTATTATAGCATCCATTATTTGGATATCATTCTTGAGTTTGCTGTTATTTGTTTGTTTGCTAGTGAAGATTATGCATTTTTTATTCAACCTTGATTATCTAAATATCAGATTCTACATTTTATTGCGATTGATTCAATAGAATAAACGCAACTTCAAATTTTCCAATCATTAAACATTATTTTTTATATTGTACACCTGTACAATTTGTATTTACAAAATAATTTCGTACATATCATAACTCTATTATAGCCAAGGTATTGAAGAAGAAGAAAAAGTAGAAGAAGAGGAAGCTAGAATGGATGTGATTGAGGAAGATGCAGGTTTGAAGAAATATATATCCACGACATCATCAGTCGGAAAAACTTATTCAGAACAAGGTTCAGAAGGCAAGATCTCTAGAAGTTTATCATTCGAGTCGGAAAATCAAGAAGGCGAATATCAAGAACTAATTCCAGTGGAAGAAGTTGGAGTGGATGAAACTGAAGCTGATAATAATGCAGAATAATAATACTACAACTTAATTTGAATTTAAAATTTTGCCGTTTTGATCATAAATTTATGTAATCATACACGTGAACTATTTTCGAAAGTTGTTGATTTTTATAAATTTTTCAGAAATCGAGGAAAAATTTTTGTGAATGAATAAATTTTAAAAATATATGTTACATTAATACATCAAATTATACATATTTAAAATGCGCAAATGATGTAGGTGTAAGTGATATTTTACCGTAAGGTAAGTTGGTTAAGCGTTCCAATACTTGTAATAATCGACTTTATTAATAAAAATGGAGATCTAGCAACTAAGATAAAATTTTCAACTCTTTATTTCGAAAATAAAACTTTCGCATGCACTAAAAACTAATCAATACGATTTCCAATTGGTATCTTATAAAATAACTTATTTGTAATTGTATTAATTATAGTGCATGAAAAGCACGGCCCATTATTCAATTTAATGAATTTTTGTAATTGAACCACATTTCGTAATATAATTAGAAAAATTAATATAATTGTGCAACGTTTCAATAAAATCATCCGACAATTACGAAAAAAGTCCTGGCCGAAATTTAGCAAAAGCTATCCAGCATGCTTCCCAACATTCTATCGAACAGTTTTTCGAACAGTGCATTTTAGAAAATTTTTTAGGATTTTTATCAGAAAATTAGAACAGACAAATTTTGCACTTACCTGCTAATACTGAAGAAACCGTTCTGCTGATCGTCGCGAAAAACTAATCAACGGAATCCTTATCGAGTTTCATCTAATGGCTTTCAATCAGTGTAACGGTTTTTGAGAAAACGTCCACAAAATGTCAAATTTTTGCTCGCAAACAACATGCACATACTTTTTTCAAAACGATTCAGAATGACGAAACACCAAAAAAGCATAAAATAAACTATTTGGTTTTTTTTGGCAAAAACAAAAAAATTTCCCGTAGGCTAAATTATTATAATCGCCCAAAAATCGAAATTGAAATTTTTTGCAATTCTTCACGTTTTGAAGGTTTCTGAACATTTTGGCATACCTAAGAGAAATGGATGTGTGTGTATGTATGTATGGATACAATTTTTCGTCCACGTTTTCGGGCATACGAATCAACCGATTTGAATGGTCCAAAAAACATTCGATTCCTATTGATAGGGAGATGTGATGGTTTTTGGCAAAAGCAGGTCCAGCCGTTACAGAGATACATAGCAAAGAGTGCAAAAAATAGAAATCGAGTTTTTGAGAGAACGGAGAATCCGATTTGAAAGATCCAAAAAACATTCAATTTGTAATGACGCGAGGAAGTGGTGATTGGCTTTTGGCAGAGGCAATCTACCCGTTACGGTGATACCGAGCTAGATGTGCAAAAAATGGCAGTTTTTGAGAGAACTAAGCATACGATTTAATTGATTCAAAAAACTTTCTGCTAATATTTCATTACGGTACGGAAAGTTCCAGCAATTTGCCTTAAGGCACGATGCTATACACCACTTAGTTACTATAGGGTTTATGCATATTTTAAACAGATAAATAAAGAACCGCAAACTAGGCGTGTAATATAAAAATTGAACTTGATTGTTTTTTTTTAATAATAATTGTAGCTTTCAAGACACAAATTCGATTAGAGTTTAGTTTATTTTTCGAATTGAAAATAGTTTGCACTGTCGGACACACATAAATAAGTAAACATTTGAATAGGGCGCCATCGAGCGACTTCAGCTCGAAAATTCATTCGATTATTATGTTGTTGCACCTGAAATAGAAAATGCCAAAACCAGTAATGTCATAATCTTGTCATAACATAACCTATTCAGTCAAAAGAAACGATTGTTTATCTTTTAAGTGACAAATAATTTTATCTGTATTGATATGTGATAATACCCGATAATACATATCAATTGACTCATATATGATGTATTGAAAAACTATAAAAGTCTGTGACAATTGTGCAAAATAAAAGTGAAAACGGTTTAATATTATTGCTAAAAATATGAGGATATGGTAATTAATTATTATATATTTGGATTTTAGATTAGTTTAATGATGTTCAATGACTTTCTCTAATTGTAACTTTCTCCAATCATTATATTGAGTTTAAATAAAAATTCTAATAAATATATTTATATACACTACAGTACAGTGATCTTAAATCAACACACACCGCTGCAGCGATGAATCTAATAGGAGTATAAAATAAAATAAAAAAATAAAGAAGAATTAATAGTAAAGAAAAGGAAAATAATATAAAAGTTATTAAGTAACATCAGTGGGTAATTTTCAATCGCTTTAGTCTGGTGGGCTATTCATGAAAATGCTTATAAAGTACAGTTATAAATGTTACCTTATTTTTATAACCATATTTATTATTGCAATAATCAAACATTTCACAAAACAATTATAATTATACCTAAATTTGTCTAATTAAAAATGTTCTACATGATTAAAATATTCATTCAGTTAATACTATTTTCTTGTTTTATGAACATTTACATTTTACAATTGCTTTGATGAAAATGTTTAGCGAAACGGCTTGATTATAATTGGTCTCATGTAAAATTCAAATTTGCTTCATAGTTATGTTTTTTGTTTATATTCTATTATGTTTAACATTTATATTTCAGTATGGTGTCTGATTTCTTTTATCCAAATGTGGGTGGTGTAGAAGAGCACATTTTCAATTTATCACAATGTTTGCTTACTCGTGGACATAAAGTTGTTGTGATAACCCATACTTATAATGATCGAAAAGGTAGGTTAGCCATAACCTCAAGCGCTTAAGTGTAGAATAAATGAATATTATTATTCAATTGAATAATATCAAATAATTTGATGACATGAATTATTTTTTGCATTTTTTATAATGTTTGATCTAAGTCAATATTAAATAAAAGAAATATGTTACTATAAAATTATTATTTTAATTGATTATTAATTAGTACAAATACATACTTGAATTATTTCATTTCATAATTCTTTTTATTTTGCAAATTTATGTCAATTAATAACTAATGAAGGGTAATTGTTAAATCTATATATTGAATTGTTATATATTTTCACATATAGTATCAACTATTTTATATTTGATAATTTGTTATAATCAAAAAGATATTTCAGAATTTAAAGCTGGAATAGAATACAAAATTTTGATCAAAACATTCACTGGCCGCCTTAATTCTAAAAATTTAAGCATAAAATATAACTATCTCTTATTTGTTGCACTTGTAGAATAATAATTCATATAAGTAAAATCTTCACATTCTTATTGCAAAACTTAAAGGTATAGTATCTTAAAAGTAATATTTTTGTATTCCTAATTACTGAATATATTCATCCCCATTATTATAAGAATGTAAATGCTCGCAATCTTTACATATCTGCCTAAAGTATGAACCAGTTTAAATTACTTGCTCTGTCATTTTCCATATCTTTTACAAGTTACCCTTATTGAGCTTGTACATGTAATTTGTTTGCGATGTTTGTCACTCGAAGGGTGTATTGAACATGTTAATATTAAGTTCTTCAAATGATGTAGCGCCTCCCTGATCTAACATTTGGAGCATTTCAGAGAGTTCTTGTCCTTGTGGCTGCCCTTGACTGGCACCAGAATGTACTTGCACGGGAACAGGAGCCATGGAATGGGCTCCTGAACTGCTAGATCCAGGACCATGGTTAGATCCCTGCCAAGTCCACATGCCTGCATTATTAGGTTGCGTAGTGTTTGTGGTGTGATATGTGGTTGGCCTTGCCCCTCCACTGAGCTGTGTGTAAATAGGACCGCTGGGAGACCTTGATGGACTTAGCTGGTTATACTGATACCCTTCAGTAACTGGTTGTTGCTGTCTTAAATTCCAAGCTGCTTGTGCAGGTGTAGGACTGGTGGTAGAGTTTTCTTTCAATACGTGACCTAGTGCTCCTGAACTGCTTGGACTACCAAAGGCTATTGGAGATGGTGTGTGATCATAAGGGCCACCATACACAGCCTGAGAAGCACTATTGGGTCTACCAACACCACTTTGCATGGCAACAGATGAACCAATAATATGCCCATGTGAATAAGCAGGTGCCATTGAATTATCTCTACGCTGAAGTGAATAATCTATTCCTGGTTGTTGCTGTTGTTGATGATATGGAACCTGGTCGGTACTTGTTTCTGTTGAACTACTATCTGGTCCACTATGTAAAGTTTTTGCTGTTGAATGTGTACAGACTATATATTCTACATCGTCAGTGTAAGGATTTAAGAAAGCGAATGCTGATGTGCGCAACCAAACCCATTCTCTATTCTTTGCCCTGAAACGGTACATCAGCGAAACCACTTGGCCTTTAAGTTTCAAAACTTGTTCAAAATTCTCTTTCATATGACTTTGATCTTCAGGATGAAAGAAATCGAAGCAACTTTTGCCAAATAATTCAGGTGGAGAGTAACCAAGAAGATTCATTACTCTTTGATCGATAAAACTAAATTTTCCATCCAAGCTATGACGGGTTATGAATTCGGACTGGCTGTGTGAACCGGACAAATCTGATGTGTTTGCAGTGGAAGTTACCTGAAGCCTTCCAATGGCGACAAGACAACAGTGCGATGCGTGCAATTCCTCCTCAGTCTGCCTGTCGATTTGTACTCCCGTCGGAGGCCAATTCTTTATGTAACCCGTGCAGTGCACTACGGCATAATTCTGTCCGTCTCTAGAAGGCCCCAGCGAGTTTCTCTGCTTCAGTCTGTTCAAGTGACCAAGCGACATACTTTCTGGAGGTACATTGCCCACCTTCATGCGGCATATGAATCCTCGTCGCGATCCCATACAAAGCCGCATAGACGATTGATGGCCTTCTTTTTTTACCGTTCCGGTCTTAAGATCGAGAATTCTGCCCGTATTTTGAGATTCTTGTGTTGACAATTGTTCTCTGACTTTTTCGACGTCCTCGGGATGAACGTTGTCATATATACATGAGCCATACCAATCACTCTGTGAATTATTCAGTACTGGAGTAACAGAATCTGAGACATAGATTATCCGTCCAGTATCACAACTAACAACAAAGAGAAATCCATCAGCCGCTTCCAAAATCAAATGTTTCAATTCCTGGTCTGTCAAAAAACTTGGCTTGTACGTACTACCATCTGTGCTTGTGTTACCCGTGCCTCTGAGAGCCTTCATGTGTGCCACGGCCATCCTGAGTATGGTAAGTTTGTCGGGTTTTCTAGCGAGAGCGCTACATGTCGGCACCATGTCTGATAGCTCGGTTATGTATGCCGTCATCTTGTTTCTCCGGCGCCGTTCAATCTCGCAATGGTTCTCCCTACTGGCAAAACGTTCCTTGTCTTGCATATTGTGATCCTCCATCCTTTTGTATTTGCTACCGCTCGGGTCCTTCTCATCGGATCTATACTAATGATTTTTCAACCACGCCCAGCCTTACCACTGCTACTTTGGCTGATGTTATTACAATTTTTGCTAGCAATGAAAATTCTGCTCCTGTTCCTAATACCGCTGTGGTGCCAGCGCGAAGTTTTTGGATGCACTTGCTTGGATCAGACCCTGCTAAAGAATGAGTTTAAGCCGACAATTTAATATAAACATCATGCGATAATACTTTTCGCGCACAAACATATTTTCGAAAGAAAATAATACGCAAAATAGAAATACAATTATCACAGCTAGATCAGAAAAACTACACAACATAGAATTAAAACACCGAAATTTTAACTAAATTCTTCCATTACCTATATAAACTACTATATATATATATATATATATATATATATATATTTTTTTTTTTTTTTTTTTCAATTCATATCATGCCTGAGAAAATATGATGTATAAGTGTATTGTTATTGAATTTGTGCAACTATTTTTGTTTCAGGCATCAGATACATGACAAACGGTTTGAAAATATATTATCTACCAGTGAAAGTATTCTACAATCAAAGTGTTCTTCCAACAATGATTTGCAATTTGCCTTTTTTGAGATATATTTTTATTCGGGAACAAATTCAAATTGTACATGGACATTCTGCTTTTAGTACTTTAGCACACGAAGCAATAACTTTAGGACGTCTACTCAATCTAAAGGTTAATCTAATTTTTACAAATAAATAATCTAAAAAGAATATTTGTCTCAAATTGTCATAGCCATTAAGAAATATAGTCATTTAAATTTTCTTAATTTAAATACATACTTTTAATTATATCTGAAACATTAACTTGTATAGATTATTCAAAAATATAAGAAAATGTATCATGTACTATTGTAGTATTGAAGTAATGAATTAGTTCTGAATCTTATTTATTGTGTGTGGAACGGAACTTGTCCATGAAAGCTTCACTTCTTAAAAAGTGAATGTAATTTTTTCATAATCAGATATTGAAATAGAATTGATCTCTGGTAAAGTTTATATTTACAAGTTCATTTTATTTTTAGACTGTTTTTACTGATCATAGCCTTTTTGGGTTTGCGGATTCGTCTGCAGCAGTTACTAATAAATTTTTACAAATATCTTTGTCTGGCTGCCATCATTGTATATGTGTATCACATACAGGTATGTCGTATAAATTTTATTAGTTAAAAATCCATATAAAATGATAATGGAAAGAAATTGATAACATAATTCAGGTAAAGAGAACACTGTTCTCAGAGCTAGAGTGCCACATGCAGAAGTATCAGTTATACCCAACGCGGTTGATGCAGCGACATTTGTACCTGAACCAGAATTTAGACCCAAAGACAGAAGTATTATTAATTTTATATAGTTATTCAGAATTTCTTACTAAGAACAATAGAATATTTTTGCAGTTAATATAATTGTGATATCACGATTGGTATATCGCAAAGGTATTGATTTATCAGTAGCAGTTATGAGCGAGTTAATACCAGAGTACCCTAACTTGCATTTCATAGTAGGAGGAGATGGTCCTAAGAGGCAGTTACTTGAAGAATTGCGAGAAAATAAAGGTTTAGGTAGAATCACTTTGTTAGGTGCTTTGGAGCATTCACAGGTTTGTAATTAAGAACACTTTACCATTTGAAATTTTAACTATACATTAATTAGTGATAATAGAGTTATATATGTCGAGTTCGCGTATTTTGCTTTTACAAAATATTATTTACTTTTATAAGCAAAGGTCCAAAAAATATGATATTTTTAATTATAATTATTTTCCTATTGAGTCATTTCAAATTCCTCTCAATAGATTTGATTTAATTGACAAGGCTATGATAAATATATTTTTTGATTACCAAAATATTGTTACTAACTATTATTTTATTAGCTGCACCCGCAACATTGTCCGCATGAAATTTAACAAAAAAGCTAATTAGTGTAACAAACTCCAATTTTATTTATATGTATAGATACTTATTGAGATATCTTACAGGTTCAAAACGTTTTGAAAACAGGACACATATTCCTAAATACTTCATTAACAGAAGCATATTGCATGGCTATTGTCGAAGCAGCAGCTTGTGGGTTTGTGAATTTTTAAATTAAAATAAATTTTATTAAAATATATATTATATTCTACTATATTTCAAAAAGTTAAAAATAAAAATGGTATACGCATCACAATTAATAATTATCAATATTTTTTATTCACAAAAACAATTTTATCGTTTAATACTTTTATTTCTTAAATTATTTATATTTTTTAATTCATAGATTACAAGTAGTTTCAACACGAGTAGGCGGAATTCCTGAAGTTCTACCCGAAGATTTGATTTATTTAACAGAACCTAATGTACCTTCAATTGTGGAAGGTGATATTTTTGATTGAATTGATTTGGTTAAAAATTACAGTATTAAATAATTTTATATTTTGGTAAGCAGGTGTAAAGAAAGCTTTAGCTGATCGTGCTGCAGGCAAATATGTTTGTCCTTTTGAGTGTAATGAAAGGATATCTGAAATGTATAGCTGGGATAATGTAACCAGAAGAACTGAAATTGTTTATGATGCTATATTGGAAACAAGTAGTGAACCCTTTGGAGATTTGCTAGTTAGGTAAGATTGAGATACATATTACTGTGAATATGCAAAATATGGTATTACAAAAATATACGCAGAAAAAAATGTTTCAGATATTTACGGAGTGGTGTCTGGCCTTTTCTATTAGTGATCAGTTTAATGAAAATATTAGTATGGTTACTGGAATGGGCTGTACCTGCCAAATCTATAGAAATTTGTAGAAATTTCTCATTGAGGAAGTATAATTTAAGTTTTGATAAACAAACTTCTTTTCCAGTAAATTAAATGTTATATAAATTGCATATACAATTGTAGTTCATCAAACTACATGACCATGACTGAGTGATTTTTTACTGTTTAATATGTTGTGAACAGAAGATATTTCATGTTCAAATTAAATATATTCTTTGAAACCTCATAAATTAATTTAATATTTATATATAATTATATAATAATGTTAATAAAAAAAAATTGAAGGATTATGTAACATAGTGTTAAAAGTGTAATAATAAATAAAAGTGCAAAAAGAAACAAAAGCCACCAGTAGGTGAGCGAGACAATTTAATCAATTAGAAGAAAGTTAATTGATAAATTCCCCTTACCTATCCTCAGGTACCCCAATTCTGAAGATAAGTAATACAACTTATAATTTATTTTAAAAAAAATAGAATTTTGTTTAAGAAAATTTTAGTTGGTAAATTAAACAAACAATTCCATAAAATAATTCCGTGTATGAGTTTGTTTATGGACAGTATTTTGACCGAGAATCGCTTTGATACACAACATGCATCAAGGTACAAATGAAATGGTTGAATGGTTAACAACTAATAAGCTTTTTTAATAACTAACGTCTCTCCACATAACAAATGCAGATATTATGACAGATTTCAAAGGAGTGCTTTAGCCATTTTTAAAGCTTGTAAAATAATCTTGCAGTTCGCTCCTATGAAAGCGCAAAGCTAGTTCTGTAGCCGAAGCAATGTGAATTATTTCTATTATGTATAAATCATATTAGAAGCACTTTTAGTTTTCAAGATTGGAATAATAAAATAAATCAGAGTAACAACTCATAAAATTCTGTGTGATTTGTGCAGCGGTAGCAATCTGAAATCCACAAGTTTGCCCTCAACGCTATGACATCTATGTGGTTTTCAGATTGAACCTGAGTCAATAAAAAAAATGATTTAGAATTACTTCGAATAAATAATTCAATTGATTAATCTACATTCATATTTCCTTAGATTATTATGATTAAAATGTTCTTTTACAAATTTATGATAGTTGGATAAACTATACAATTTTTTTAGAATTTTTGAACTCAATTCATTTTTTTATGTGATTAAGACTAGTTTTATATACCGGCATTACTAATTCGATTTATCATTTTGTTCTATTCAAATACCACATCAGTTGATAAATTGATTGAAATTGTAGTTGGATATTTAATGTAAATAAAATGAATCTTAAAACAGTACTTAACAAACAATAATTATTTCCCATCTTAAGCACGGGACAACATAAAATATTGCAAAACTTACTCAAAGCTGTAATCCTTTATTTATCAACCCTGTTCTTCTGGTTACTGTATATTTCTGGTAAGGCAGTTAGTTAGAGCAAATCATAATTCATCAATAATCTATTCGATTTAATTATTTTATGTTTCTTGTTTGCTTACAAGTCATAAGTACCTGTAAAAAGAATATAGATTCATTTCAAGAAAAATTTTAGATGATATATAGTCATTTGCAACACTAGATAGTATTAATTTTTACTAGATAATTAAACTTATATTAAAAATATAATATAAAAATTACTTTTGAAATTATAATAATAATTACCTATTTGTGCACAACACTTGCTGAATATTGTTGATAAATAGATCATTATCTTTCATTAGAACTTTTTATGTCAAGATCATCTCTTAATTCATATTGTTCTCAAATTCAGATCAATCCTGTACTGCATTATTGAAACTTGACCCCATAGAACAGCATTTTCCAATAAAGGAAATTTTCTTTTATAAACCTCTTCAGTCAGTTATAATTTTTCTTGTATTCAATATGTGTCCCCATTATTATCATTTTTTTATAAACTAACACTATAAATATTGCGAAATAAGAAATTATTACAATACACGTCAACAACAAAATCTTTAACAATTCAATCTTGCCATGCTTCGGCATCGACTGTCAAACATAGAATATCCACCATATTTTTGGGGCTATAGAAAACGGGCTCAAATGTAGGTTAATTTAAATAGTTGAAAAACAGATTATTATAATAACTGCGCTTGCTTAGATATCGTATTAAATTGAAGAATAGCCTACAGAACCAAAATAGCTAAAACACAATATGAACACAATACATTGTCCGCCATTATGTACTCGAAGCTGTCAACCCGAGCCAACCAATCAAACAGCAGCACGAAATTTACTTAGAAACCAGGACCGCATTTCAATCAACTCCCATTATTTATATACAAATACTAGGTGACCCGGCAAACACTGTTTTGCTAAGTAAGGTATATTCTAAACATTTTCTAGAGAACCAAAAAAATAGTACTTTTAGTGTACTAATAAAACTTATTAAAATTTTCCAAAATAACAAACTCCATTTTTAATTGAATTAAATATTCAAAATAATTACCCTTAACATTTCAGTAGACGGACCTGTGCAATAGGAGCGCGATGTCAAATTAAAAATTGTGTCTGTTACCCTGGGAGGATGAATCGATTTGAGCCGAGATTTTGTATGGAAATTTAATTTTGAAGAACATTTTTCAATCGTACTACCAGGAGAACAGACACAAATCAGAATACAGTAAACCCTCGCTTTACGCGGCAAGTGCGTACCGTGCAGTATAGGAACCGTGCTATAAGAAACTCGTATTTAACATACAATTCAGGCTAATTCGTAGTGCGTTCTATGGAACCTTACATAGTGCAGTATGGGAACCGTGTTATGAGAGACTCAGAGTTGGTACAAATCGCACCATTTTTATCGCGTTGTATGGAGACCAAGAAATACAACTTGAAGTAGGAGAAATACGGACGAAATGACGTAAATGACGTGACGAAATTGACACCTTATTCAAAAATTGGCGCGACGCAGTAATCAGCTCAAACGTGTTCTTAGGCGGCTATTTTACAATCAGGCATGTCTAAAAGATAAAAGTCGATAACAAAATTTACAACAATACCCTTTTGCACAACGGACTTATGGGCTGTTGACCAAATACCGTGTAATAAGAAGTCCGTGTACTCGGAGGGATGTCGGATTTTTAGCTCCGTGTAGTATGGGAACCGTGTACCCAGAGTGCCGTGTAAAGCGAGGGCCTACTGTATATAATAGTGTTAGTATTGCGCAGGGCCGTCTGCTAAAATGTTATGGGTAATTATTTTAAATACCTAGTTTTTGAATATTAAAAATAAATGTGTTTAATAAATAAAATGGATATCACTATCAATGGCTGTAATTAAAATTTATGATTGATTAAAAATAGTTTTTGTATATGGCTCTCAATTCAGGTTTGCCAAAAACAACTTGAAAAACTAATTAAAATGCAAAAAAAAATTATAATAAAAGAATCAAATAAAATTATTTATACTTTTGTTTATATAATTACAAAATATTACAAATATAACTACAAACTAATATATAACTTTAAAACTACATAATACATAATTTGTGTTATATGTAATGAGGTACGCCTGAGAAATAAAATTTTCTCTTTATTGTCAAGTGTCAAATGCACTAACTGTGCAATTGTTAAAATATCTATTAAATACATATTCTTAATGTATATAATATTTTATTTGTAATTTGAATGCAATGATCATTTATTGCTTTGATGAAAATATTTCTCAATCAATAGCAAATTTTGTAAGTATGTAATATAAAATAAATATGAATCTCTAAGTTAAGTACTAAATTAACAATAATAACAATAAGTAAATCTAAAAAGAACAAGTAAAAATTTGTAACTAAAATTATATGTCTACATATGTTCTTTTAATTATATCAAAAATAAAACTTATTTGTATAATCACACATGCTGAAAGTTTGAGTTACAATTACAATTGTAGGTACTTTTTAAAAATTTTGTTCATCTTAAAAATATCGATATATTAATGCAATTGTATATAATTGTATACTCTTCTTTTATCTATGTTGTATCCTAAGTTGTATGATAAACTGTTTTAAAAAGCTCATAAAAAATTCTATAAATTATAATTTACTGGTAGGAAAAGTCAGTATAAAATAAAAGGGTCTTTGTTTTGCTCCAACTCCCTTTGTACATCATTATAATATTCATGCTCAGATGCTTAATATTATTCATCCTTTATTGCAGTTTGTTGCCTGTGCAGAAAGATTGTTTCAAATCAATTTTATCAAACCTTGGTTTGTTTGCCTATACAAACTAGGTAAAGAAAAAGGTGGCGATGGGGCCTGTGTGAAACTGTGAGAGATCCAAAAATCACAGAGCTATTTCAAAAATGAAAAGGTGGTCCATTATAAGATTTCTGGATTCAGGATATCTGATCAGGCACATTGCTCTGGACTCTCAGAATCTTCTACAATGAACAAAATTTAGTTGTAATCATAAATTTTAAAATGAAATATCACTTTCGACATTAATTAAATAATTAGCTAGACCTTTATAAAATATACATTATGTTGATGTCTATTAAACAAATATTTAAAATAAATGGTTATTGTAAAGCTATATATTAATCAAAGTGCATCAACGTCAATTATCATTTCATTGACAAATAATTAAAACTAAATGATGCTTTTGTATACCTTCAGAATGCATTATTCGATATTCAGTATGAATTTTTGATTATGAAAATGATTGTGAGTGTAAAGCTGATTCAATAAAGAGTTGAATTATTTATAGTAAACAGTTCAACTAAATTATCTACATTCACTTGAATTGCTTTTTGTACCATTTACTATTTGTTTTTGTTTCCCGCATAACTATACCAATTCATATATTAAATATTTTCTTGGGTTATTGTAAGCAAAAAGTACTTTTATAAAAACTTGGTTTTGTAAAATAAACTATAAGAATTTCTTAGTATTTTTAAACTTGATGTATTCATAGAGTATTAATGATTTTATGACTAAAAATGATGTTTTATATACCAGAGTGATTTTTTTAATTTATTGAAAAATATAACGATAATCGTAAATTGAATATTTAAGTATTTATTTGAATAAAATGAATCTCATATGCTACAAAACTTACTGAAAGTTGTGACCTTCTAGTTAAAATGTTCATGTTCCTTGAATAAGAATATACATTTATATGTCTAATTTCCATACAATAGACCATTATCTTTATGAATTTATAATAACATGTAGTAAAAGAACTGTCAAACGTTTGACGTAGGGGTCGGTGGCGCTATCTAACACAGAACTATATGAACCCGGTAGTCACTACGTAGTTCCTCACGAATTGGGAACGATTTTGCATAGAGGCGCTGCATGCAATCGCATTGGAATCATAGGAATATTAGTGGATTCTTATTGGATTTCTTTACAAGCTTTATATTTCATATAAAGCCGCTACGTAGTTCCTCACAAGTTCGGAACGATTTTGCATAGAGGCGCTGCATGCAATCGCCTTAGAATTATAGGAATCTTAGTGAATTCCTATTGGATTCCTTTATACACAATTATAACTAATTATGGTCCTGCCTTAAGAGAAACATCAATATATACATTTATATATCGCTTTATACGCCATTAGATGTATAATTATGGTCCCGGTTTTGAAGGAATATCAATATATACATTTATATATCGCTTTATACGCTATTAGATATATAATTATGGTCCCGGTTTGGAAGGAATATCAATATATATATTTACATATCGCTTTATACGCTATTAGATATATAATTATGGTCTCGATTTGTAAGAAATATCAATATATACATTTATATATCTATATATTTATATATTTACGCCATTAGACATATAATTATGGTCTCGATTTGGAAGGAATATCAATATATACATTTATATATCGCTTTATACGCCGTTAGATATATAATTATGGTCCTGGTTTCGAAGGAATATCAATATATACATTTATATATCGCTTTATACGCCATTAGATATATGATTATGGTCCCGGTTTGGATAGAATATCAATATATACATTTATATATCGCTTTATACGCCATTAGATATATGATTATGGTCCCGGTTTGGAAGAAATATCAATGTATACATTTATATATCGCTTTATACGCTATTGAATATATAATTATGGTCCCGGTTTTGAAGAAGTATCAATATATACATTTATATATCGCTTTATACGCTATTAGATATATAATTATGGTCCCGGTTTGGAAGGAATATCAATATATACATTTATATATTGCTTTATACGCCATTAGATATATGATTATAGTCCCGATTTGGAAGGAATATAAATATATACATTTATATATCGCTTTATACGCCGTTAGATATATAATTATGGTCCTGGTTTCGAAGGAATATCAATATATACATTTATATATCGCTTTATACGCCATTAGATGTATAATTATGGTCCCGGTTTTGAAGGAATATCAATATATACATTTATATATCGCTTTATATGCCATTAGATATATAATTATGGTCCCGGTTTTAAAGAAATATCAATATATACATTTATATATCGCTTTATACGCCTCTAGATATATAATTATGGCCCAGGTTTTGAAGGAATATTAATATATACATTTATATATCGCTTTATACGCAATTAGATATATGATTATGGTCCCGGTTTGGAAGGAATATCAATATATACATTTATATAACGTTTTATACGCCACTAGATATATAATTATGGTCTCGGTTTCGAAGAAATTTCAATATATACATTTATATATCGCTTTATACGCAATTGGATATATAATTATGGTCTCGGTTTGGAAGGAATATCAATATATACATTTATATATCGCTTTATACGCTATTGGATATATAATTATGGCCTCGGTTTGAAAGGAATATCAATATATACATTTATAAATCGCTTTATACGCCATTAGATATATAATTATGGACTCAGCTTGGAAGGAATATCAATATATACATTTATATATCGCTTTATACGCTATTAGATATATAATTGTGGTCCCGGGTGTGAAGGAATATCAATATATACATTTATATATCGCTTTATACGCCATTAGATATATGATTATGGTCCCGGTTTGGAAGGAATATCAATATATACATTTATATATCGCTTTATACGCCATTAGATATATGATTATGGTCCCGGTTTGGAAGGAATATCAATATATACATTTATATATCGCTTTATACGCCATTAGATATCTGATTATGGTCTCGATTTGGAAGGAATAT